TACCTCAGTCCACGCTTTATCAGCATGGGCATCGCTCCCGAAGGATGAGTATAAAGGAACATAGGGACACTAATATCGTTGGAATAGTCAAGATACCGGAAAGGCAAAGGAGACCATCCAGCAGGGGGTTATAACGCCCTCAGACTTTGCGTGAGTGGTCAGTGTAGCTGCAATGAGATCCCTGATCATTGGCTTTCATAATCAGGAGTTGTAAGTGTCTCACAGGCCCGGGGGGGAACAAGGCACCCCCTTGAGGGTTTCTCGTTTTAATCCATAAGGTCAAGATTACTACGTGGGCGGCGATCGTAACTGAAATATGATCAATTGGCAGGACATCTATCTGTATATCGTTCATCCATTACGAACAAAAAGGACACCGCTTCCACGCGTCTTTGTAGCCCAACTCTGTCCAGACCGAGAAGGATCTGTCATCCCAAGATAAAAATATCATCACATCAGCCATTCTTCTCGCTACAGAATCACGAACGTAACTTTGTTCGTTGGTAAGCGGTGTTTTTCTCGGCTGCTACTCGTTGCGACGTGAACGATCTGCCATATAAATGTGGAACGATCACCATCTCTTCTACTGAATAAGATGGGATCTGATAGCGTGATAGACTCACTTGGAGCTCGCAGAGGCCCTCTTCTACGACCTATCTCTTTAAAGGGCTTCTGATATTTGGCGGTATACTAGGTCACAAGATAATGTATAGGATGGAAACATATCTTCGGAGAACCTATTTATGGGCATATGGAATCAACAAAGCATCAACTATCATCTCCAAGATGACGATCGCACACCGCTCATACCACTTCGGCCGTCTTTTCCGGACCAATGAACATCACCTCATTATCATCCACACCTGTTTCACTGCCTTCCGTTTGCGATCTCGGTAGGCAATGTAAAGGCGGCGGATGTATATCATCTTGTGACGGGCCCGTATCCCAGTTCCTGGAAAAAACACGAAGAAGTATCAACGCCGGTGCAATTCCCTGCCCAAAATCCCTGTGAGTTTTATTTGTAAGCGAAAGAATTTCCAACTCACAACGACGGAATCAAGCACCGCTCCCGGATACATGCTGTAAGGACTTTTTGTCCCATTGAACACAATGAAGACCGCCAAGACAAAGACATACAGTCCGGATGATTCTACCAAAATCTCTATGATGTGGTAGTACAGGTTGGGCATGAAGTGCAGGGAACTCTTAGACTTGATCGCCTTAACCAGGCGGTACACGATGAGCGTTGTACAGATGAGCGTTGTAGGGAGTGCCATGACGTAAAACGCTAATCCCCAGCGGATGGAGGTTCTCCCCGAAAGATTTCCTTGTGAATCAAACCATGGTGCCAGAACCTGAAGGAGGTACGAAATGCCAAAGACTTCGATCAGTAAGTGACTAGAGATCATCCAGACTAGAATATATGGACTTACTCATTCCGCATAACGTGCATATGCAAGGCAGGATGACGACTCTCCAGTTCCTTCCCCAGATAATCCAGCACCTCCAAATCTAATATGAATTTCAACTCAACATCTGCTTCTCCCGAAGTGCTGGTAGGAGACATACGGTAACACCATCCGTAGTAAATATATTGATGCCTGCCGCGATATCGCTCATCGTCAAGGCCCACGTAAGGTTAGCAGTGGTCATCCAGTCCCTGAGGGCCAAGTATCTTGTTTCTTCTGTCTCCACCTTCGGTATGAATTGCTTCCTGATATAGAACCATATCAGGGCAACGTGGATCGTCGCAATGATGTACATGAACACCGAGATACCAGTGAGGACCTTCACTTGCCGCCTATGGGCGTTTGTGCTCGACACTATGCAAGGGACTTTTCAGATTCAATTGTGTAAGCTAGATCAACTACACACGAATTTGCCACAGTACGACAGCAAGAAACGCTGTGTAAATTCCTAAGTGATAGTCTGAATAAGTTCCTGAATGACTGGTTTAAAATAATATTCTCACCATGGGTTAGCGACTGGATGATAGCGCCATCGACCCAGGAGCCAGCATACTGCGGTGCAAGTACTTGGATGTCGGGATCGATCTGAGACATGATACAGAGGACTAGAAGCCACCTGTAGCTAATTGGGGAGGAAGAATGCGGTTGATGGTTTCACATGGAGACTCGATGTTTATTATTAAGGATCGAACGCGGTGGCTTTAAGGTTTCGCAAGCTATCCAACTTATTTTTGGCTCATTGTTCATGGGGTGGAAAAAATTTTTGGGTGTAACCAACGCTACATGATAAACAGATGCTGAATTCCGTTATTCGCATTGTACAATGGATTTCATCTAAATCTCCTGGGTGACATGCACAGGAGCCCTGGGAGTCGCCAAAGATGTTGAATCAATGTGAACGACTAGGACACTCACCTAGGGCTTCGCACCGTACCGTATACGGTATACGGCCGTATAGCCACGGTACAGTGACGGGCGACGGCTGATCCGTAACCGTACCGTCAATGCTCTTAGAACTAGGTTGACGGTACGGTACGGGTATATAGACGGCCGTGCCGGTCGTCAATACGGCCGTTGAATAATACATACCTGATATTTGGGGCTTCGGAGCAGCTCCAGGTCCTGCCATGGGCACGTCGTCATCTGCATCGTGATAAAAATTGAATTTCGAGGGGGATTTCAAGTTTCCATTGGCATCGAGGGCACACTGATCTGTCATGATGCTCAGAATGTGGTTGTAAGTCTGCGAAAAAAGGACCATTATATACTCTTTCGTGAACTCCTCTGGCTTAAAATTCAGCAGTATTTGACAGGTGCACAGGCCAGCGGGGGGCAAATTATTCCGCAATATGTGTGGGTAGTCAAACTCAAAGGATGAAACAGTAGTAGAATAGAGGCAGCAGAAGCAGGAAATAGAAAGTATTCTATGCTGGTAAGGGTTAGAGCTTGAGTAGAGCGAGTGAAAGAAGATCGGGTGGTAGCGCTGAAGAGCTTGCGGTGCCAGCACATCGTGGTACGATGTTAAGTGTATGGCAAACACGTGTACAGTGTGATCTGATGACGGTTATTTTTAGATACATACACGGCCGTCGATTACCGTATGACGGCCGTGTTTATACGGTTGCTAACGGTATACGGGATGTCCGTATACCGTCCGTCTCTGGGCAAGTTATTTCGCCAGACGGAACGGGCACGGTACCCGTATGACGGCACCCGTATAACCGTACTATACGGTGACGGTGCGAAGCCCTACACTCACCAGACGTCTCCAAAGCTACTGTAACCATATCGCAGTTTCTAGATCATCTGATCATCTCAAGCGATGTCGAAATGAAGTAGAGGAGTAAAGGAGAGCTATACACTTTCTTGATCTTGATAAAAAAAAAGATATCTCAACTCCGCAGATGGAAGTCTTTGATATCAAGTCCGACTTGGGAGGAACGCTGCGCAATGACGGGCATAGAAAGGTTGTTCCTGGGATCGACTTTGATATCACCATAGACCGGGTCGGAAAACGGAAACACAGATTTTAATGTAGGTAGCCAACAAGGTATTCGGTAAAGTGTTATGTAGCGCTGAGATGCGGAAGGAATGATGAGATACGATAGAATGGTAAATTAGATAACGTCGATGAGGATCAAAGGGGCAGAAAGCCAAGAAAGCGAGAAGTCAGTGTAGGTACGCGTAAGTGATTTCGGTAGAGGCGATGACGAGCATGAAAAAAAAACTCGGGAAGAAGTCAGAAAATCTAAAAGTCAAAGCACAGATTGAGCAGAGAAATCAGAGCTTAGCAAGAACGTTGCTGGCAGACGCAACCATCCGGCGCGGATCCTGCTGTTCCGATTCGGCAAACGAGCTTTGTCAGCATTCTCAGGCACGGCAAACCCTTTTGTTTCCGCCCATGCAGGTCCCCAGAAGCTCCCACCAAATTTTGTCCGGATTTTAGCATATTTTAGGCCTCAAAATCGCAAAAACTTTGTCCGCAGTTAGCATATTTTGGAAATCTGGGACACTATCTGAACCAATATCAGTCCCGATTTGGACTTCTGACTCACTGCGTAAAATATTCCGGGAAAATTCCAACGAAAATTTGTAGTCATGTCGAAAACAGGTAAAATTGGGCTTTCAGTGCTAGATGGCGAAGTCCGCAGATTAGGCGGCCGGTTCCGTAGGGCCCCGGCCCGGGATGCCCGAAAGCGACTTCATCCGAGGTAGCATACTTTGAGCCCCAAAAGTTGCATATTTGAGGTCCGATTTTGGAATTTTTGCCAGACAAAGTTTGGTGGGAGCTTCTGGGGGCCTGCGTATGCTTCTAGTCCTCTTCGCAAACGCATCAAGCTCGAGTCACCCTCGGCACTCGCCACCACCCAAGACTCGACACAAAGAGGAATATAACTGCAGTATATGCATTCAGGCCCTCATAGACCACGTTGTCCACGCTTGCTCGCATTCCAGCGGCAGGTATGAGGGAAAAACAAGACTTTAAAAGGTTTCGTTCGAACGTCTCAAAACGACATGAAAAAACTTCCTTCCTTTGGAAACCCTTTATGTAAGGTCTCGTTTTATCTTACACAAACCGTGTCAGTGCCCTGAGTGTCTGGTTGTCTGCACTGGTGAAGGAACCTTTTGCATATAGTCAGTGTGTGGCTGATATAGATGTCTAAAGCAATCAAGAAAGTGACCTTAGCGTCCTCAGATGATTAGAGAGTACCTTGTTTATCGTGATATGGTTATCAGAAACACTACCTCGCGTCTCTCTAAAAGCTGGGATTACTATCGTTACGTGCTACACCGGCCGTGATCCAGAAGTGCGTAGATGATGGCGCAGGAGAGAGTGTAGCAGACGACACCAGGACGAGGCGGATCAGCTGGGGCGGCCGATAGAGAAAGGTGCAGGGTGTACAATCACAGGCTAGTCGTAAAGGTGCGTCCGAATACATTTACCAATTATTCTGTCTGACTTTTTCGTAGCATATATCCTCGGATGTGTATACCAAGCACCAGCCATACCCTCGCGTAGCGCAGGTCACCATGGGCCAAGTGATGATGAGCAAGACGACGATGATTTTACGGCATGAACTTAGAGTGTCGGATGATCTCGATGTCATGGTGCGGCTCTTACTTGATACGTGTGTTCCGTAGATGACTGATAGGGAATATAGTTTTTCATGCTGTTCACAATATCTCTCATTCAGTCCATGGTCCGAGTCAGTTGTGAAGCTACGAGCGAAATTTTTGGACATAGATACGGATGGAAGAGTTATGGCAGAACATTTCGCGCACGGTGAGAAAAATTCTGCGGAATATTATTTTACTGACACAAGCAGGGGTTTACTCGTATGTACGGTCGCTGTTCAAGGACTTGTTCATGTACGACAGCAGTGTTCAGGTGAGCAATCACAGTAGTATTGATATTTCTGACAGGACTTAGAATTGTCTAGCTAGTACGATACATCTCCGCATGTAAGCTCTCCTTCAAGACCGAGACCAAGACGATCGAGAGGGGTCGACGAGCACCTTCGCCAGAGATCCAGATCGAGAATCAGGTCACCAAGTCCCTGCGGCCACGACGATGCGCCGTCATCACTTCGAGATGCAAGACGGTCCGAAGATGACATCTCGCCTGTCCGGTTGATATCTTGGTCACCTTCGAGGCATCATTATCCCAGTGCGAGCAGTGCGTCATCTCCTTCAGTGACGCGAGTGACTATACCCGATGAAATAGACATACCGGCCTCGACTACCAATCCCATTGAACGGCCCTGTCTTCCAGAGGTGAAGAGTAAATCCAGAGTTACTGACGAACCTCATGGTGCTACCCCGAGCGATGTTGGACTTCAATCCGACGTGAAAGAAAAGTCCAGAGTGGATACGTCTCGTTTCTCTCCTGCATCCTCTAACTCCACAAGCAACTCGTTCGTACCACCCTTGGACTCCTTACGTGTTCATCTGGATGTGACTTCAGCGTCATCGTCGTCCAGTCCGAATTTTCTCTCCCAATTGTCGAGAGGTGAGAGTAGGAAGAGTTCTGCTGATGCATGGGGCTCTCAATCTTCGCTTGATGCAATGTCAGACTGGGATCATAAGACACCGTCACCAGCGTAAAAGACGGAAATCGTGCTCACGCAGGGTCGAATGCGTTTATTGGGGATGCTGCTGGAAGAGGGGAGGCGCGTCTCTCGCCCTGTTGATGATGTTGATCGGAGGTTGACGATGACGACGGTTGGTGGGGATGCGGCTTAAGGCTAAGAAGAGGGCGATGCGGCGATTGTCTCGTTGTATATGCGCGAACCGCCGTGGGTGGTGATAGGAAGCTACAGGATCTGCCCGTCAAGGGGATCGACGATGGACTAACTCCTGTCTTCTGGGCGGGATTCAACTTTGGGGGAGCGGTGAGCGGGTGCAATGTCACTCTTTTTTTCAGTACGTCGCCTTGAGATGAAGACATGGAGGATATGATTTATGTTGTTAGGGATAAATCATGAACTGCACGAGGTTGATACAAAATATTACCCAGAGGTGGTTTTGTTCGCTAGCAGATTGTGCTACGTTTGCTTGCACACCGTTTCTTCTACAAGATGTCCGTCGTGCTTCTCTGGCTGGCCAATTCGGCTATTGTTCGTGTATCTGATGACGACGTTCATTTTGTGGTGTTGATGTGTTGACGACTACATGTACGGTTAGACACAAGGTTCCCGACACAATATTACCAAGGTCAATTCACGTCCAGGTTCAATCAGTTGGTGTCATATCATTCTCACGTTACTAAGCGTCCAAGGTGAGTCTTGCTTTATTCTTTGAAGGTTTATTTCTATATTGTTCGAATCCTACGATGTGGTACGATTACACATGATGATGTTCTGTTCTCATCTTTGACCGTCATTTCTCTTTTCTTCCCTCTGCAAGCGCAGTATATTATTCTTTTAAATATCAGGTCTGGTTCCGTTTGACGGGAATTCGTAGCTGTGATTAGCTGATAGAAGTTCTGAAACCTGTTTTCCAATTTTCGTAAATGCTCCGACCTTTTTCAGGTTCTCGTACTAGCCCATAAGCAGCAGTGCACGTTTCCCCTTCCACCTCCCACTCATGCATCCTTGACCGGGAAAAACGTACTTAAGGTGTCCTCACAGAGTCTGGCAAAAGGGTCGCGCAACGTAAATGTTTCGCATGCATTACGGAGGTACAACGAGTTACGTTAGGGGCAAACTTGTCTAGGTTTCTTTCGTATCGTAGATCACTTGACGATATCTGTGTCCGATATACCATACGAATTTTCAGCATCATACTGACGAAAACCCTGGTAGCTCGCATGTCTGCTGTACCAGCGTCTTCCCGTGTTTCTCGTTTACCCTTTTCACATCTCTCCTGGCCGCCTTCCTGGACCCTGTCCTGATGCACAGGAACAGGCTTTCCAATCCTGTATAAGAGCACAAGTAGTCGAAAACCACCGGCTCAGATTTCAAAATGGTGAGCGATAACTGCCGAACGAATATCTGCTCCACCTGTAATGAAGCCCAGAACTCTGGCGGTATGAAATCTATGCAGAGTTCAAGAGATCGCAAGTGATGAAGGTGGGGAATCAGGAGGGGAACTTCGGGTCGGCGCAAAGTCAAGTTCCCGCAAAGAGATAATTCAGTGAGGAAGCTATACGTTCCACTTGGATACCAACAAAAGAGAGTGAGCAGGGATGGGGGAAAGAGGCTTGCAGGATGAAAACAGTGGTAGACGCCAAGTGATGATAGGTTCGGACTGTTCGCTATGAGTACGGCTACAGATGAGAGGCAATCGGACCCTATGATGTTGAGCTTGGCGAGATTGGGGAGGTTAGTGATGGGGATGCGGTTACCGTGCCAGCCGTGTACTGATAGCGAAGACACAGAAGGTAGTGTCGATATCTGCTTCCAGAGAGCGCTATTTTCGAGGAATCTCTTATCGAATCCGTCGTACCTAAACGATGTCAATCGAACACGTTGTACAAGAATGAAAGGATCTCACAGAATGCTCTGCAGCGATGTCAAGTATGGTATCGCAATGACGAGCAACCTTTCCAGATCCTTCGAGCTCTTTTCCCTCAGTCTCTTGAACAAAATCCAATCTAACGGGCCCATACGCTTCCTGCTTGGGGGCTTCAGCGAGACAAGGTGCAAGTGTCTGACATATTGCGCGAATGTCTTGTTGGAAACGATGGTTCCAAAATAACTTGTTCGATCATGGGAATTAAAGAAATGGGATTTCGTGATATCGATGACCAGCGTCTCGAAGACAATGGGCGTGGCGATCTTGCACAAATATGTGCATGTGGATCGGAGGGCCGTGCGGACGGTATCGCAAGCCTTGGAGAAACGTATCAGATTTGAATGTAGAATTGAAATTGACGGGCTCCGTACTAAACAGATGATGCGCTCTATCACTTCGGTAGGCAGAGAAAGTAACATTGTGGCGGTAAGAATCAAAGTGATCGGACGGTTACTCGGTTCCCTCAGTGCCCGTTTTGGTTATCACCACCCCACACATCGGCTGCGCAACAACATTGCCTGGTCAGAATTGATTTTAGTACTATATGAGATGGGACACTCAATAAGTTGTGGATGAGAGGTGTCATATGGCTTGTTCCGTGTTCGTAAAATGAGACCAGTGCTTGAACGGTCAACGAACGATTACCTAGCTCAGCACTAAAGGACCGATAAGTTGCCGATAAGGGACATCGTACACATAAAGCAAAAGAAATGATAGTATTACAAAAACCAGTACAAGTACATGAGACTTCAGTCCGAAGACACCCGTCATTATCTCGTTAAACTAGCGACTGTTGAAGTTCAAATCAAAAAAAAACTAAGCAAGGACAGGAATATGAAGCACTCACACAGCGCTGCGGCATCATCATTGGCCAATCCATCGAACAAACCGTCCGCGATCAAATCATCGTCATAATCATAATTCCTCTTCACATGCACGTTCTTACGATCTGGAGACTTCCTGGATTCGGAGACCACGATAACCTCATCATCATCTTCAGATTTTTGCTTAATTGAAGATTTTCCGCTCTTCTTGGCCTGGCTCGGAGACATGGAGACGACAATGACCTCGTCATCGGAGTCATCCTTCATTTTTACTTTCGAGGTAACAGATGTAGAGGTGGACGCCTGATGCTTTCGTGATGGTTCTCTAAATTCATTCTACAGCGCTCTTTATGTAAGAAAATGAGCTCACCGACAATTCTTTTGTGCTTTTCTTGTCGTCGGAGCCTCGTTTGTCTCTGGAAGTAGTACGATGAACTTCCTGTGCCAGATTCTTATTCATGTCAAATTGAAGATCGTAAATCACAGAGACAGTGCTCACCTCTACGTCAACCAAATTATACCAGAAAACCTTCCGGTGAGCGTCCTTCTTTGTCGGACTGTCCTTGACATCTCTCGGCTTGATCCTATCCATCTGCGCATCATCGAGCTATATGCACTTCCCATCAGATCCGTTTTATTCAAGCATGAAACACACTCACATTAAAGTTCCTCATAGCCGTTGTTCTCGATATCTTTCCCCCTTTCTTCTTTACGGTCTTCTTCGGCGAGGTATGTACTTTCGACAACGATGGATCCTGCTTCAGTTGCTGTTCCAGGGCCTCAACATCACCTGTGTCATAATACCGCACAAGTGAATTCTTGTAGCCCCTCTCTGTGCGAACAGGACGGAGTGTGTCCAGGTCAACAGGCTTCACTCTGTACCTCTTTGTTGCATCGCTGCGTAGCTAGAGGAAAATGAGACAAGTGAAAAAGTTTAATTGCAACTTACAATTTCTTCTGTCCCATCTGGATCAGTGGATTTCGTGGAAGCTTTAGGCATAATGAACGTCCAAGTCTAAGTCTGGGGATAAGAGATTCAGAATGTCGGTAATTTAGATCATGTGACTGGCTGAATTGTCTCATTATAATTGAGCCTGACAAGGCGCACCGGCGGAATTCATATTCCTATATAAAATTACTATTATACCGAAGTGTTTAATTCTACTGTTGATCAAAACCGTAAGTAAGAATCCTTCCTGCCTGGTGTGAATTACCATCGAGATTCGAACACAGGACCAAAACATTTAGACTCAGCGCTAATGCTAGCACGTAACCACTGAGCCAAATGAAAGACACCAACGGCCTTACTTTCGTATTGGTAGTCTTATAAAGTACTTTCTGGCTGGGTCTCTGTTACATCTGAAATAGCTCGATTCACCATGTTCCTACGTTTATATACCGCCAAACCTCTCGCAGACGCTAGTAACCATGTCCTTCATTGAGAACACGTCCGAAAGATAAACCATAGGAATGTCTGCACCTATATCCCTTAGCAGTCGTCCACGAATTTGTGCAAAAGCAATCGAGTCTATCCCACTGGCTGTCAAAGACTCTCCGAGATCTAGAGGTGCAAATAATCAGCGCGGTATTGTGGGAGAGGAAAAATACTATTACATACCTAAAAGCTCCCCTTTTCTCAGCTCGAGGACGTCTCGTATAATATTAATGAAGATTTCCTCTGCTTCTTCACTGGTCACCGCCAGTGAAGGCGCATTATCGCCAATGTCACCAATGATAGACGCAAACATGCTGTCCTCTTTGAACCCGGGGATCTCACCCATCAATTGCACGTCAAACTTTGCGATAACCTGGACTGGATCTGGATGCTTTTTGGCGTGTCCTATTGCCTTCATTATTATCGGGATACCTTCCACATGGCTAAGAGGCTTCACAAGACCCTTCGAAATGTCGACATTCTGGATGAGGGTGGACTCCCACGCGCCTAGCTGGAGGGAGATGGCTGATAATCCTAGCGTCTGGCGATACGTCGCAAGGTAGTCCAGGAATGAATTCGCCGCGACGTAGGCTATCTGCCCAATATTTCCTAAAGGAACGCTATTTTCCAGTCAGCTGCGTTTCATACTCCTGCTTTACGACAGACATGTACCTGATACTGCTTAGGAGCACGAAATGATCAATCGTTAAACCTAGTTCAAGGGACAACAAGTGTAGATTCCACGCCCCATCAATTTTAGGTTTCAACACTTGTTCAAAGTCGTGTTCAGTGATGTTTGGAATGATCGCGTCTCGAACGACTCCGGCGGTGTGGATGATATTGCGAACGGCGCCAAACTGGCTGCAAATTTCAAGCAGGACTTGACGAAGAGCTTCCTTGTTCGAAGCATCAGCCTGAAGATATTCTACTCTTGCAGATACAGAGGATATCTCCGAAAGTTCTTTGATTACCTTTCAAATGGTATGTTAGTGATATGAAACGCGAAAGGCTAAATATGCGAACCGTTTCTCTTGAACGTCGACCAATGAATACGATGGTATGCGATCCCGCTTTTGTTATATGAGACGCCAACGCTGACCCGATACTGCCTAGTCCGATGATGATGGTCACACCCTCAAAGGTAGCATCCTCGTCACCTTCTAGATGTTGTAGTCCTGGTACAAACTCGGATATTTTCCCTTGATCTGCATCATAACGCACAGAAACGAGGCTATCTTTAACCCTCCGTAACGGTCTCTGTTCTAATTCGCGTGCAATGAGGTCGACAATCTTGGCAGCTGGTAGACTTGGAGGGACATCCAACCCCCAGATGGTATCGTGTGAGCCGGTCTCTCGACGGAAGACTCGGAACATCCCTTGGATAACAGCACTTGCAGAGAAAGAATCCCCTTTGCCCGTACAGCCTGAGGAAAGAATGATGAGATTATCATAGCGAATCTTTCCTATCATGAGTGTCTTCATCAGCCGAAGAAGCGGTCTCCAACACGCTGACAATGTGCTCGAAAGAGGATCATTTGTAAACGAGGTCACATCAATTATGATAGACCTTGTCTTCGCCATGGGAACACCTACATCGGCGAAAACGAGAGTTGAAGAATTCGAGTCCGTGCCCTGAATTGTCGCCCACTGTTTGCAGTTAGCTAAGTCAGCATAAGCTACTTCCGATGTAACTTTGGCGAGTTCTTTCAGTAAAGGTGCATGAGGTGTCGGACTGATGTAGAGCGAAGAATCCAGAACGGAGGAAGGGGGCGCCGTACACGCTATGTCTCTCTGTACCCATGTATTACTGAACCAGTAGCTAGGAATAATGCCTGCATTTGTGGACGGAGCAGCCGTGTGCTTGATCGTTCCCACAGGAATCCAAGCAACTGAGTACCTCTTGCAGGACGCGAGAAGCTCCCCATCGTTAGAAAGGACGTCGAATTTGACAATCATAACGTGGTCGTTTCTCTCCCTGATAACCGGCAGATGATAGCGGCAAACAAAACTATCAGGAAAGTCGTTGGTATAAAAGGTTAAGCCTTCGAGGGAAGATGGCAGGAAAGACCCTTCTGTCCGTTCCGTGGGAGGAGCATCCCCCAATAGAGTGGTAACCACGCCGAACATATGCAAGCACGGGTCCAATTTGCGGATATAATCGTACTCGGGATAGCGCGCTGAAGCTTCGACTACAATAAACGCATCGACGCGATCATTCCATACGTCAAATCGAGTGATATTCCGGAAGGTTTCGCCGAAGTGAACGTGTCTGAAGGCATTATAGACCTTGACTTGGTCGATGACCTCGTTTGGCGGAATATCTGTCGGCCACTGCTTGTATGGATACGGTTCCGGCAAAAGGGAAAATTGTCCTGAACAGACCTTGTCATGTTCTTGGAACGTCTTGCCTTGGTACAAAGTGAAACCCCCATCTTGATCTAATAGCGCTTCTACGTGGACGTCCTCGTCCACGATAAGAGGCCGATGAAATCGTATGCTCTTTAACGACCGCGCTGTATTCCTCGACAATGAGATGAAGAAACTCGCCAACGCCGCTGCTGGAACAACTCGATGGCCTTCAATCTGGTGATCATCCAATACGACACGAAGACTGTCAGGGATTAAAAAGATCTCCTTTCCCGTGCCTTTACCGTTAGCATAGACTGCGGGTGGAGAGTCGCCTAAATTGTCGTAAGTGGGTATGAAAGAGGGGTAGTGGCGTTGACGCTGGAAAGGATATGTCGGAATGTCAGTTTTCGAGTACGCATATGGCCGTTCCGCATATAGTTCGGCGAGATCGATGCTAGCACCATTTTGATATAGGCTTGCTAATCCTTTGAGGAGTGCCATCTCTTGATCGGTACCTTTCTTCCTTGAGACGGAGATCTTCACCTTGTCGACGAGACCCTGAGATAAACCCCAGAATGTTTGCTGGGGCCCAATATCAAGCACAGTATTGATCGATTTATCCCTTTGCAATTCCTCCAGTGCCTGTGAAAATAGTACTGGATTTCTAGCATGATCGACCTATAGAGAACCTCGGTCAGGTACTGCGAGGTACGTGAGGGCAGAAATACGGACCCAATATGTTGCAGGCAAAACACTCTGGGCACGGATTGGTCTGCCCGTAACGGTCGAAAACATTGGGACTTGTAATGGTCTACGGGGCAAATCATGCTCACGGACAGTCTCTTCCAAGGCAGATAAAGCCGAGTAAATGGATGGACTATGAAAGCCTACGAAGAAAAATCGATAAACAGAACGAGCTGTTGCATAAATCATACCTTGATCCACATTGAGCTTTGTGGTTCTTATCCTGTCTCTTTTCAGAGCAGAGACCAACTTGTTGACGGATTCTGCTTCGCCAGAGGCGACATGAGAGTCAAAACCGTTGAAAACAGCTATCACCACCGACTCCGAAATGCCTAATTTGTTCAAGTATTGACGGATTATACTCTCATTAGTGGCAATAGCAGCCATAGCGCCCGGATGCTGTTCTCTGGGCTTCAGAAGACGTGCTCTGTGAACAACGAAACGTATTCCCTGTTCATAGTCGAATATTCCTGCGATAACTGGTTGACAAGTCAGAGATGAGGAATTTTTCGACAAGAGAAACGACTTGCCTGCAGCGGCAATTTCTCCTAAACTGTGGCCAATCACAGCCTGGTGACGTACTCCCAAAGATTGGAGCCAAACGCAGATGCTATACTGGTAGACAAATGTGCAGACTTGACCGACTTCACTGTCGTTAATGTCCCGATCCTCCATAGAATTATCGCCAACCAGAATATCCATGACCGAAAATCCACAATAGCGAAGCGCAACATCGCAGTTCTCTCTGAGCATACTGTGGAATCCCTTGAAGCTTGTAGCTAAGCCACGGGCCATTCCAGCGTATAGTGATCCCTGTCCTGAGAAGCCAAGAATAGTCTTTGGATTTGATGGGCGTGTTTCGGTGCGGTTAGTTAATCGATCTTCCAGTTTCTGGATTAACTCGTCCATCGTGCTTACAACGCAAGCAAACCGGAACCGATAATGCTCTCTCCCAACACAGCTTGTATAACAGATAGATTTGAATCGTTCCTCCTCTACCGAAGCGCAAAAGTCGATATATTTTTGGATGTAGGACTTAAGTGCGGCTTCCGACTTGGCGCTCACGACGAAGAGCATGCGTTCGGAGCTCATTATTAAGCCCGGACATTCATCTCGAGGCTCAGCATTTTCAATTACAGCACCGGAGATGGTACCGGCGAATCCGTAGGCTCTGTTGACGGGCTATTAACAGCCGTAAGTGTAGACACGTGAATGACACTTACAGGACAAGAGCACGCAATGAACCAATTCTCCTTGGCAATTCCACGCTTTGATAGGGTATGTGCATGGGAATGAGAGAGCAGTCTATATTTTGATTCAGGTTGGACTCGGTTAAATGCGTCAAGCCAGGTACAGATCGACGAGAAAGAGACGCTAGCGCCTTTACCATGCCAACTAAACCCGAGCTTGTCTCCGTATGTCCCACGCAGCTTTTTGCTGCGCCGATAATCAACGGGCGTTCCGTAGTGTGG